TCGCCATTTTGGCGGATTCAGGTGGCTGCTTACTCGTTTGGCACCTTATGTTATAAAAAAAATATTTCGAAATCCATTCGAGTGCAAACGAAGGGATAGTATTGAAAAGAAACTAGAAAGAATCATCTTGTTTTCGTACAGACAATTTTTGCAAGTTGCGTTGTATTGAATTTCGTTTCGACGTAATTCAAAATGTTTAAAAGATTGTAGCTTTTAAGGTAATACACTAGTTTCCCCGACTGTACATATGTTAATTCCATGATAACAAATCTTACTAATATTATAAATGCGAAAGTTTAGATGGATGGATGTTTGTTAGAGTTTGTAGCCTGAACGGCTAATGGATCTCGATGAAATTTGGTATAGATGTAGAGCATAGTCTGGAAGAATTATATATAGGCTTACTATTGTTTTTTTTTAATACCACGCATTTGGTACCTAATGAGTATATTAGTGAAAGTTTAAGAGTAGCCCCAGTGGTTGAGGAAATAAGGAGTAAAAGGTTAGCGTGGTATGGGCATATTATGAGAAGGGATGAATCGCATGTAACAAGAAGGATGTTAGTTATGAATGTGGAGGTACACCGGTAGAGGTAGACCTAGAAAGAGATGGGTGGATTGCGTAAAAGGTGACATGATCAAAAAGGGAGTGATGACTGAGATGACGTATGATAAAGTTATGTGGAGGACTAAAACCCGGTGCGCCGATCCTACGGGAGTAGGATAAGGCAGGGGAGATGATGACCACGCGGATGGTGTCGCGGGCGAAAGCTAATATTCTAAATGTATTTCCTTGAAATTCGCAATATCGCAAGGTAATATAAAATATGAAAAGCTATAAGTAATCCCGTCATCTTAATGGGTGGGCCATTTAAAGGGGACCCGTTAAAAGGTCTGTCTGTCCATCCGATCGCCTTCCGACCGGTTGCCGGTAAGCTTACCGTAGCCACGCTTTTAACTTTATACATACTTTTAACTATATTCTACATTATTAAATCACTAAATTTCTCGAGAGTATTCTCTTGTTTTGCGTTTTGTTCGCTTCGCATCAAAAAAAATTTTCTAGGTTTATTTTGTCGAAAAAATTATACAAACACCTTTTTACATACATTTTAAAGACGTCAAAGATAACAACATATGTATACTAGATATTGCTCGCGACTTCGTCCATGTCAAATTAAAAAAGTAGTAAAAAAATATAGCCTATGTCACTCAACGATAATATAGCTTTTTATTGGTGACAGAATTTTTCATAACAACGATGTGTTTTTGAGTTACATCCTCTTTACAAAGGCCGCGTACGCGTAAATCTCTTTTTGTGTAGGCAAAATGAATAAAATCCCTAAATTCGATAATGTCCAGTGTTACAACTGAATTAAAAAAAAAGTATACTGAACAATGAAAAAATTCGTGACAATTTGATTTTAATGTGTTGGTAACATATTTTTTTTGCCACAAAAAACTCGAATTAAGGTTTAAGATAATAAGTTATTTGTCAATTTTCCTAAAATTTAATACTAATGCCTATTTAATTAACTAGACATATCGCACAATGACATATTCTTCGTTTGATCTACTACATCTCTCTTCTAGAGATGTTAAATAACGTTAATATTACTCGAAGATTTTTACGACACAAAAAGGTGCAAATGGACGAGGTAAGGGTCGGTCCACACTGGCTGCCACACATGATTCAATTAACATGCAGTATAACATATTCATGTCACTATAAAGATCTGGGAAATGCTTTGTCGGAAATCTATGCGTTAACATCTATACTAATATTATAAAGAGGAAAACTTTTTTGTTTGTAATTAGGCTCAAAAACTATTGGGCCGATTTAAAAAAAATCTTTCATCGTTTGAAAGGTAATTTATCCGTGAGTAACATAGGGCTACATTTTTTTCATATTCATTTTTGCTATTTTTAAATTTCACAGACGGAGTCGCGGGCAAAAGTCAGTGTACAATATGAGCATTTATTGATGTCTTTATAATACTTACTTTACTATAATCTTACTAATTATAATAAAGTATAGTAAAGGTCGAACCCTCGACCTCAAGACCGGTAGTCCTTTTTTTTTGTGACTGATTTGTCACTGTTTGCCTTGAAGAGGCATTTACAGATTCACCGGGCTTGAGGTGGCCCAGCGCGGATGGCGCTTA